TGGTGCCTGCCTTTGCTGTTCTGCTGGGGGCCATGTTCCTCTTTTTCCCCAGTTTATGCATTAATGCATCTCAGCCACTATCTTTGTTTGCTTATGGCACTGACAGCACTTCTCCCCCACTGTTAAATCCATTAAATGACACATTTAGCTAAACCAGTGAAAAATGGTGGGTGGATGCAGTACAAGTGAGCTGTGTAAGGCACTCAGGGATCCATGGCTGGGTCAGGAATCTCGCAGGGTACAAGGAAGACCTGAAGAATATTCAAAACATATTCAAAGACGAGCTGTACCCCTTCACCCCCAGGCTCCACTGGACACCAGAACCCAGACACTCACCAGAAGTCTGGGGTTTATGGCATGTCCCCAGTTATCTTAGGGGCTTTCTCAAGAGTTATTATTTGGTAATACAGCCCTTTCTGTGTAAACCAACACTCCTACGCCCCAGCCTCATACGAAGACCACAGGAGCATAACCTGTGCTGAGCTCTGAGCAGGATTATCTGCAGCTGCTGGATTAAATAATGTAACTCCTGACACCTTCTAGAAAACGCAGTGGCAGAGAGACTCTGGGACAGGTACCACAGTCCTGGGTGCACCCATCCAGACATCAAGCTGACCACAGGCAGGTGATGGTACAATGGTTTAGGTGGGGCCAAAACCCATGTAAAGAGATTGGTTAAGTGTCCAGAGGCCACACTGAACTGTCTCACAAAACAGGTCTCAAACTCTGGACCCCCAAGGAAGCCCTCAGCTACAAACACCATTATCTTCCCACTCAGCTAATTTCTCTCATTGCCACTGTAAAATACCACTTCCAGGCCAGCAGGCTGCAGATCCTTGGCACGTGGCTGTGATGTGCATCTGCCAGCTGGGGTTTGGCAGCTCTCCCTCGGACCCCCACTCACCACCATAACACAGAGAATCACAGACTGGTTTGGGCTGGGAGGGACCTTAAAGACCATCTTGTTCCACCCCCTGCCATGGACAGGAACACCTTCCACTAGACCAGGCTGCTCCAAGCCCCATCCAACCTGGCCTTGGATGCTTCCAGGGAAGGGGCATCCACAGCTTCTCTGGGCAACCTGTGCCAGGACCTCACCATCCTCACAGGGAAGAATTTCTTCCGAATACCCAATCTAACCCTGCCCTCTGTCAGTGGGCAGCCATTCCCCCTTGTCCTGTCACTCCAGGCCTTTGTAAATAGTCTCTTTTCATTTTTCTTGCAGGCTCCCTTCAGATACTGGAAGGCTGCTATGGGTTTTCCCCAAAAGCTTCTCTTCTCCAGGCTGAACAATCCCAATTCTCCCAGCCTTTTCTCACAGCAGAGCTGCTCCATCCCTCTGATCACCTTGGTGGCCTCCTCTGGCCTCTCTCCAACAGGTCCATGTCCTTCCTGTGCTGGGAACCCCAGAGCTGGAGGCTCTGGGGGGGTCTTACCTGAGTGGGGCAGAGGGGTAGAATCCCCCCTCACACTGTGGTGATCAGCCCAGGACAGGTTTCTGGACTGACAGGTGACACTCCACTGAAATACAGGTGAGTCTCAGCCAACATGAATCACAGAAGGCTGCAGGAAGCACTAAACACCCCAAATTCGGCCAGAGCAGAGCAGCAGATGCGCGCGTGGTGCTCCCACAGGTGCCGTTACCTCATGGCCGCTCTCCAAGGACACCTTGCAGGGGCGTCCCTGGGCATCCCTGCGCTCAGCGAGCTGGCTCTCGGGCAGGAAGCTTTCCTCGGGAGTGCAGTACCAGCCCTCGTAGGAGCCCTTGTAGAGCGCCCCGCAGTCACGGAGGGCACCCCAGAAGTGCCGCACGGCCCGCTGGTGCCGGGGCTCGCTGGTGCGCGTGAAGTCGGTGAAGGCGACGCCGGCCTGGGCCAGGGCCTGGCGGAACAGCCCC